CCAAGCCTGTTCACCCCCTAGGCTTCCTGAGCCTTAGGAAAGCCTGCAGTTGGGTCCCCACGAGAGAGGCATCCCTCAGGGGGCAGGTGGCTCCATCCTGCCCTGTGGCCCTGGAACGGGACATGCCCCCAGGCAGGTGGCCCAGACAAGGCAGGCGGAGGAGCCACTGGCACTCGTGGGTGTCAGCAGGCGGCTAGTTCCTTCAGGGCCTTGGGTATGCCCCCTTGGGGAGCCCTCCCCAGCCACGTGGGGGCCCCATCTTTTTTTTTTTTAATTAATTTATTTTATTTGAAAAGGCAATGTTACAGAGAAGCAAAGAAAGATCTTCCATCTGCTGGTTCACGAAATGGCCAAGGCCAGGAGCCAGAAGCTGCTTCTGGGTCTCCCACGGAGGTGCAGGCTTCCAAGGCCCTGGCTCATATTCTGCTGCTTTCCCGGGCCACAAGTTGGATGGGAAGCAGGGCTGCCTGGACACGAACCGGCGCCCACGTGGGATGCTGGTGTTGGCAGGCGGAGGATTAGCCCTTTGCACCATTGTGTCAGACAGACCCTGAGTTCAGGCTCCTCCCCATCCAGCACCCCACAACCTGGAGAATGTGGGGTTCGGGAGAAGTCAGCCGCCCATGCTCCAAGTCCTACGCGGAAACATTCCCAGGTGAAGACAGAGCCTGCGATGCAGGTTCGAGTCCTGGTCCTCCACCTCCCAGCCGGCTCCCTGCTGATGCACCTGGCTAGCCGGTGGAGGATGGACCAAGATCTCTGGTCCCTGTACCTGCAACCAGGGAGCTCCCCGCTGGGGCCGGAACCCACTCTTGTAGGGCTGAGCTCACAGGTGCCTGGCTGGGCCTGGGTACAGGAAAGCGCAGGGTCCAGCCGCTGGGGGCAGGGAGATGCTGCCGGTGGAGACCCTGCCCCTAGCAGAGCCTGGCCGACCCCTACTGCAGCCCCTCAGGTCCTGCCCCGCCTTGCCTCCTCCCAGAGGCTGTGGGACCCCCATGGGAATCACCTCTCTTCCTGCCAGGCCCAGCCCCGCACCCCGGCACCCCTTGGTGTGTGCACGTCTCGCAGTGGTGGCTGGGGGGGAAGGACGTTGGAAGGGCCGGAACGCACACCCCCACCTCAAGCAACGCCCCCCTACTACCCCGGAGCCCCCCCGCCTCCACTCCGCTGGCCTCCCACCAGCCTCGGGTGGACAGGTGAGCTCCGCCTGCAGCCCCCACCCCACCCCCCGTGCCGCCGGCGCGGGTGGGCGGCGTGGTGGGCGCGCCCCCTGCTCACCTCCACGAAATAGAAGCAAGGCAGCAGCGTCATGCTGTCCTTCGGGGTCCTGCTGGCCTTGGCGGTGAGCATGGTGCCGCGGGCGTCGCAGGCCGTGGCTGCAGCGCGGCCTCAGCCTGCAGCTCGCGCGAGCGCCCGCGGCCCCTCACCTGGCGCAGGGCGCAGGGCGCAGGGCGCACAGAGCCGGACGCAGGGGACCCGGGGGGCTCGGCCGCCTGCGCGCGGGGCGGGGCTCTTTGTCTCGGCGGCCGGGGGCGCCGCGCGCGTCTGTGCCCGGGCCTGGCGCCTGGCGCGCCGTCCCCGCCTCCCGCGCGCGGGCCCGGGGCTCGGGGTCCGCGCCTCCCGGCCGCTCCCGACGTGCCCGGCCCCCTCCCCAACGCGCGTCTCCATGGCGAGCGGGCGGGCGGGAGACAAAAGAAGAGGCGTGGCGGGGGCGGGGTCCCTTTTGCAGCCGCGCCCCTCCGGCCCGGGGTCCCTTGCTGCTGCTCGCCCCTCCGGCCCGGGGTCCCCTCCTGCTCCTCGCCCCTCCGTCCCGGGGGTTCCCTCCTGCTCCTCAGCCCTCCGGCCTGGGGTACCCCTGTATCCCGGCGTCTCCTCTTGCTCCTCGCCCCTCCAGCCCGGGGTCCCCTCCTGCTCCTCGCCCCTCTGGCCCGGGTCCCCTCCTGCTCCTCGGCCCTCCAGCCGGGGGGTCCCTCTGTATCCCGGGGTCCCCTCCTGCTCCTCGCCCCTCCAGCCCGGGGTCCCCTCCAGCGCTCTGCCCCCTCTGTCCCGGGGTCCCCTCTATCCCAGGGTCCCCCCCGGCACCCCACCCTGCCCCTCTTTCCCGGGGTCCCCTCTGGCTTCTCACCCCTCCATCCTGGGGTCCCCTCCGTCCCTGGGACCACTCTGTCCTGGGGTCTACTCTGTGCCAGGGTCCCCTCCTTCATCCTGCCCCCCCCATCCACGGGTCCCCTCTGTCGTGGGGTCCTCGCTCTCGGGGTAGGGGCATCCTGGGTCCAGACGCGCACTTAGTGAGTGCCCGCGCGTGTGTGTGTGTGTGTGTGTGTGAGGCCCTGTCCAAGAGACCTAAGCAGCAGGTTTGCAAAATATAGTTTTAAGTTTAGTTTCAGTCTTTATTGCAAGACAGCAGGAGAAAGAGCTCCCTTCTTCTGGGTCTCCCCCATGGGTGGCAGGGACCCCAACCCTGAAGCACCTGCTGCCTCCCAGAGTGGGTGTGACCCGGGAACCAAGGTGTACAGGGCTGGACCCCTGTGCCCACCCCGAGCAGGCCTCGCGTGTCCCCAGGAGCTGGGCGCCACCAGGTGGACGTGAGACCTCGCCCAGGGGCCGAAGGACGAGAGAGGAGGCCCGGCCTGCAGTGGACCCTGCGCACCTGACCTGAGGCCTGGCACACCAGTCCTGGCAGTACAGGTGGGGAGCTGCCCAGGCATGGACATGGGCACAGAGCAGGGCCTCCTTGGGCACCAGGGGCTGGGTGAGGCGGGGAAGGGAGGGGACAGCGGCCTGCGCCTGGGCTGAGGTAGACACTGCCCGGACACTGCGGATGTCAGGTGCCCCCAAGGCCCTGCCTGACCTGTGTGTTGAGGGGGGAGGCCCCGGCTATGTACTGTCACTGGGAAATAGCCCCACTTGACAACACTGGCCCCCAGAACAATGTCAGCTGCCCCGGGAGGCCCACAGCCCACCTAAGAGTGCCGGAACATGAGGCCAGCACGGGGCGGGGGGGTGCAGCAGGGACCCCGGGGTGCAGGGCCTTGAGGTCAGCATTGGGGGGCAGCAGGGACCCCAGGGTGCAGCAGGGACCCCAGGGTGCAGGGCCTTGAGGCCAGCAACGGGGGGCAGCAGGAACCCCGGGGTGCAGGGCCTTGAGGTCAGCATGAGGGGGGGGTGCAGCAGGGACCCCGGGGTGCAGGGCCTTGAGGTCAGCATGAGGGGGGGGTGCAGCAGGGACCCTAGGGTGCAGGGCCTTGAGGTCAGCACGAGGGGGGGTGCAGCAGGGACCCCGGGGTGCAGCAGGGACTCCAGGGTGCAGCAGGAACCCCGGGGTGCAGGGCCTTGAGGTCAGCATGAGGGGGGGTGCAGCAGGAACCCCGGGGTGCAGGGCCTTGAGGTCAGCATGAGGGGGGGTGCAGCAGGGACCCCGGGGTGCAGGGCCTTGAGGTCAGCATGAGGGGGGGGTGCAGCAGGGACCCTAGGGTGCAGGGCCTTGAGGTCAGCACGAGGGGGGGTGCAGCAGGGACCCCGGGGTGCAGGGCCTTGAGGTCAGCATTGAGGGGCAGCAGTGACCCTGGGGTGGAGGGACCCAGAGGAGCTCCTGGCTTCTGCCTTCTACTTGTAGACACCAGAGGATGGGAGACGCCTGTCCCCTCTCTCTTGCAGCGGAGGTGGCCGATAATCCTTGAGCCCTGCACCCCGAGGGAGTCACTTCGGGATGCCAGTCGCTCCTCCTTTCCAAAGCAATCAAGGTTAAAGTGACCGTTTATCGGAATCTTTTTTCCTGGTTTTGTGGAGTACTCCCTCCCCGCTCCTTGCCGAGCGGAAGCTGGGAGCGGGACTCGAACCCAGGTCCCTCGTCTGGGAGCGGCGGGCAGCGCAGCCGCAGCAGGATGGCTGCCCGGCCGGCCCCCGTCCACGGGCTGGTCACTCGGAGGGCGGGACACCAGGCGCGCGGTGTGGTTGGCTGGTCTGCCTGTCACTCAGAGGGCGGGATCCCAGCTACGCGGTGTGGTTGGATAGCCTGCCTGCCTGTCAATTGAGGTGGGCGGGCTCTGGTGTGTGGTTGGTCGGCCTGCCTGTCTGTCGTTGGCCTTGGTCTGTCACCTCCTCCTCCACGCACGCCCCGCCTCCTCGCCAAGGCGCGCCCTGCTGCCGCCTAGCGGCCACGTCCGGAACTGCGCGTTCCCGCCGTCCCAGCGGAGTGACAGGATGTGAGGTGCAGGGTGTGTGGGGGGCAAGGACACCCCTTCCCAGGCGTTCCCTGCAGCCTCTGGGCGCTGAGCTCCTGGCTCCTCATGTAGCCACCCAGGGGTGCAGGGTGTGTGGGGGGGCCAAGGACACCCCTTCCTTCCCAGGGCCCCTTGCAGCTGCTGGGCGCTGAGCTCCTGGCTCCTCATGTAGCCACCCAGGGGTGCAGGGTGTGTGTGGGGCGACACCCCTTCCTCCCCAGGGCCCCCTGCAGCCTCTGGGCGCTGAGCTCCTGGCTCCCTCCAGGGGGTGCTAACCCTCCTCCTCTCTCAGGGGAGAAGACAGGTCACTGTGCTCTGAACACCCCTGGCTCCCCTGGCTCCCCTGGCCCGTGGGTGGTGCCCCATACCCCTGCTGTCCAGCTGGGATGGGTGCGTGCAGCAGGCGCCACCCTGGGCAACGCCCGTCTGGCCGTTGGCTGCGTCCCCTGACTCTTCCCACAGCACCCGGGACGTTGCCCCTTGCGACAGCCTTGGCGACTGGCAGTTGCAGTGGAAACATCCTAGGGGGCAGGGCGGCTGGTGTGGGAACCCCTTGGCCCTTCCTGACCCTGACTGGGGTTCCCAGGGGGGTCCCTGTCCCAGCCTGGCCCGGATCAAGGGAGTGGAGTGACTCTGAGAGGCAGCCCCGGGCCAGGGGTGAAGAGAGAGGTGACACAGCCTCGCCCGGCCCAGCGAAGGGCTGGTGCTCTGGTCAGTTGGCTAGGTGGGGCCACTGTTTGAATGCCCCGGGTAAACTGAGGCCCATAGCACAGGTGGAGGGGACCTGAGCCATGTCTGTCAGGCTTGGGCAAAAAGAGGATGCCAGAATGGCAGGTGAGTGGGCTCTGGCAATCGCCTGGGGCATACATGAGACACGCCTGGGACACGCCTGGGATGTATGTGGGACACGCCTGGGACACGCCTGGGACATGCATGAGACAGGCCTGAGACATGGCTGCACTACCCATGCTGACGGCTGCTCTCACCTGAGACGGTGGCCCTGTCGGTGCCCACCCGCCCTGGGCTCCCCTTCTCAGCCCCTGCCTTGTGCCCCATCCTGGGAACAGGCAGGAAGTGAGGTCCCTGCAGGCCATGTGGCAACCCAACGGCCTCCCTCCTGGGGGGGCTATAAAGAGACCAGGGAGGGTCCCCCCAGACACAGCCTAAGCCCACGCAATGCTGGCTGCAGCCCTGCTGGGCTTGTTGCTGGCCGGTGAGCGGGGCTTCCCGCCCTTCCTTCTTCCCTGGGTCCCTGGGTGTCGGCTGGCTAGTGGGAGCAGGGTGGGTCAGGCCCTGGCTGAGGGTAGGTGTCCCAGGGGCCGCGGGCAGCCAGCAGCCCCTCACACCTGCTCCTGGCTCTGCGTTCCCAGGCCCTGCACTGGCCTCTGAGATCGTGGGCGGCCGGTCAGCTCGGCCCCATGCCTGGCCCTTCATGGTGTCCCTGCAGCGTCGGGGCGGCCACTTCTGCGGGGCCACCCTGATCGCCCCCAACTTCGTGCTGTCGGCTGCACACTGCATGAACGGCGTGTGAGTGGCCAGCTTCTGGCTCTGGGCAGAGGGAGGGCACCTCCAGGGCCCCTGGTGGATCTGTCCTGTGTACCCACGGGACCCGCTGGGCTCCATGCTGGACACTCCATGCACTGCTTGTCCCCCCTGCCCCCCAGGAACTTCCGGTCGGTGCAGGTGGTACTGGGTGCCCACAACTTGAAGCGGCGAGAACGCACGCGACAGACCTTTGCCATCCAGCGCGTCTTCGAGAACGGCTTCGACCCCATATTCCTGCTGAACGACATCGTGGTCCTGCAGGTGCGGGTGTTGTGGGATAGGGGCAAGGTCTCGGGTGCAGGAAGCAGCCCGGCCGGGCACCCCTGGGTGCAGGCTGAGGGGTCGAGCTGCAGTACTGGGGTGAAGCGAGGAGGGGGAGGCAAAAGCTGGGCCTGCTTGCCAGGGGGGGTCCTGCGTCTTGGTGGCCGCACTGGGAGGGCAGGGGGAGCCGCCCACCACCCCTCCAGTCGCCCACGCCCCCTCTGTTCGCAGCTCAACGGGTCGGCAACCATTAACAAGAACGTGCAGGTGGCCCGGCTGCCGGCCCAGGGCGACGGCGTGGGCAACGGCGCACGGTGCCTGGTCATCGGCTGGGGCCGGCTGGGCACGCACCGGCGGCTGTCCCGCGTCCTGCAGCAGCTGAATGTGACCGTGGTGACCTCGCTGTGCCGCAGCAGTAACGTGTGCACGCTGGTGCGGCGCCGGCAGGCTGGCATCTGCTTTGTACGTGAGGGTCATGGACTCCCCCTATGCGCCCCGGGAAGGGCTGGCCATCCTGGCCACCCAGCCGCTGACCGCCTACCTCCACAGGGGGACTCCGGTGGACCCCTGATCTGCAATGGGCTGGTGCAGGGCGTCGACTCCTTCGTACGTGGCGGCTGCGCCTCAGGGGTCTACCCCGACGGCTTCGCCCCGGTGGCACAGTTCTCCGACTGGGTCAACTCCATCATCCATGCCAGGGACCTCATGGACAGGCCCCGCTGAGCCCCCGCGTGGCTGCTGCCCCCTCCCAAGTGCTTGACACAATAAAAGCCCCCCTTGTTTTGCAGAACCAACGCGCTGCCGTCCCTCGTTGGGCCTCTCTTGGGTACGCTGCCACCAAGTGGCGGCGAAGTGGGTGAGCTGGGGCCAGAAGTGAGCCCCTTCCCCACTGTCAAGTCCCGGTTATTGAGTGCGTCCAGGGCGCCTGTGGCAGCCACTGACGGGCAGTGGGTGTGGGGCTGGCCTCAGGAGATGCCATCCAGGGGTCTAGCCCACCTTGGTTGTCCAGAGCTGGAGGTCACCCCCTCTCCTGCCCCTACCCCCATCCTCAGCTCCCTCCACGCAGGCTCTGTGTGCGGGAGGCTCTGGTACCAGTTGTTGGTTGTGTAACTGGCAGCGCTGAGGTTACACAATCCGATCGATTCCCTAAGGGGCCGGCTCCATCTGATAGGCCAGCGGGGAGCCCACTCATGGAGCTAAGTGCATGACCGAGGCCCCAACCTGCTGCCATGCGGCTCCTCTCACTCCGCCTGTGAGGCGCGGTGGGCTGGCTCTACCACTCAGAGGCAGGCCAGGGGAACCTGCACCTCGCCACAGCTCAAAGGCTGAGGTGCCGCCTCCTGCGGGCAGGTGCCTCCACTGGCTGCCCGCTCCCCCTTGCCAGGTTCCTGTCTGCCCCCTTGCCACCCTCCCTTCTGGCGGGCACAGGGACCAGGAGACCTGCCAGATGCCCTGGCCCCTGCCGCGGAGGGAGAGGAGGGGTTGTTTACAGCCGTAGGCTCAGGGGCGATTGTGAAACCCGGGGTTGTGAGGGTGGGAGTCTGGGGGGTGGGTGACGGGGCAGGCGGAGAGCTGTGGAAATCTGGCAGGGGACATCCCGCCAGGCCTTGGAGAGGAGGAAGAGGGAAGTGGGGGCGGCTGGCGGGGCTCCTCCCCCAGCACGGCTGCCTGGGGCTGAAGCGCCCCAGGACACTGCCCCAGCACAGCGTCCCCAGCCGGCTCAGCATGCAGAGGGCGGCGAGCTGGGCGGCTCTGGCGCTCCTGGGAGCTGCCGTGTGCGGTGAGTGGACCCCGGGGCAAGCAGGACGGACCCCAGCCCAGCCCTCCGGGTAGCAGAGGGAGACGGTGCCCGCGGGAGGTGGGGGACCCTGAGCCGCGCCAACAGAGGGAACTGGGGCGTCCCTCCCGGGTGGGCCGGCGATTCACGCTCTGCCGCCCGCCAACCCGCAGCCGCGCAGCCCCGTGGCCGCATCCTGGGCGGCAAGGTGGTGCAGCCCCACGCGCTGCCCTACATGGCGTCGGTGCAGGTGAACGGCACGCACGTGTGCGGCGGCGCCCTGGTGGCCGAGGAGTGGGTGCTGAGCGCCGCGCACTGCCTGGAGGACGCGTGAGTGGGCCGCGCCCGGGCGGGACGGGAGGGCCCCTCGGGGGTGCCCGGAGTGGCCTTGGCTCCGACCGGACCGCCGCCTCGCTCCGTGCCCAGGGACGGCGAGCCGCTGCAGGTGCTGCTGGGCGCGCACTCGTTGTCGCAGCCGGAGCCCTCCAAGCGCCTGTACTCCGTGCGTCGCGTGGTGCCCCACCCGGACAGCCACGCCAACACCACGGAGCACGACCTGTTGCTGTTGCAGGTGCGGCGCCCCGCGTCCCCAGCGCCCTGTCCCGCGCGGAGGCGCCTCCGGGGCCGCTCGGCTCTAACGTCCTCCCTGCCCGCCCCGCAGCTGGCTGAGAAGGCGCTCCTGGGCCCCGCCGTGCGCACCCTGCCCTGGCAGCGTCAGGACCGCGACGTGGCGCCCGGCACGTTGTGCGACGTGGCCGGCTGGGGCGTGGACAGTCACGCGGGACGCCGGCCCGACCTCCTGAAGCACGTGCAGCTGCCGGTGCTCAACCGGACCGTGTGCAACTTGCGCGTGCACCACGACGGCGCCGTCAGCGAGCGCATGATGTGTGCCGAGAGCCAGCGGCGCAAAGACAGTTGCAGGGTGCGCGGGGCAGGGTCGCCGGCGGGGTTTGGAGGGGTGCGGGCAGCAGGGCCCCCCGAAGCAGGGGCGGGGTGAAACTGCGCAGGGAGAGGGGCAGAGGGGCCGGGAGCCTGGCACGGGGGTCTGGTGCTTAACAAGCATGGTTCTGCCCATGCAGGGGGACTCCGGGGGTCCGCTCGTGTGCGGGGGCGTGGTGGAGGCCGTGGTCACGGCTGGCTCGCGCGTCTGCGGCAATCCCAAGAAGCCCGGCATCTACACTCGCGTGGCGAGCTATGCGGGCTGGATCGACAGCGTCCTGAACGCCACGGCGGGTCTCGAGGCGGTGACCACTGGGGCGGTGCCGGCGGAGCAATAAAGACGTTCCTCTCTGAGCGTGCATGGCCGCTGCGTGGACGCGGGACCTACGCCGTGTCTGCGGGGACGTGCGAGCCCTGCCGCGAGGGAGTAGGGGCTCCCCAACCCCTGCACTGCAGGGCACCCCGAGTGGGGCAGGGACCCCCAGGGCGCACGCTGTGGGCACCCCGGGTGATGGGGCACGGACCCCCAGGGCGCACGCTGTGGGCACCCCGGGTGATGGGGCAGGGACCCCCAGGGTGCACGCTGTGGGCGCCCCGGGGTGGGGGGACAGGGACCTCAGGGCGCACGCTGCAGGTGCCCCGGGGTGATGGGGCAGGGACCCCCAGGGTGCACCCTGTGAGTGCCAGGGTGGGGGTCAGCAGCCAAGAGTGGGTCACAGGAGGGGCACGGGGGTGCGGCCTGGAACTCCCAGCTGGGTGCCCAGGTTCCCACGCCAAGGGGTGGGGAGGCGAGCCCACAAGGAGGGCAGGGCGCACTGTGTGAGGAGAACGTGCCAGGCATGCTTTGCTCCGGGTTGGGGTCACATGGCAGGAGTGACCCTGCGCCCTGGAATCTACCTAGGAGGGAGCCCTGTGGGAACCGTGTGGACTGTTCCCTGGGCCGGGATGTCCACTGTGCTGGGCTGGGCTGTCCCCCCATGCTGGCTGTCACCCTATGCTGGCTGACCCCTAATCTGGGCTGTCTCCCCATGCTGGCTGTCCCTCCATGCTGGCTGTTCCCCCATGCCCGGCTGTCTTCTGATGCTAAGCTGTCCCCCGGGCTGGGCTGTCCCCCATGGCCGGCTGTCCCCCGGGCTGGTCTGTCCACCATAGCGAGCTGACCCCGGGACTGGGCTGTCCCCCAAGCCGGGCTGTCCCCCATGTCCGGCTGTCCCTCATGCTAGCTGTCCCCCGGGGCTGGGCTGTCCCCCATGTCCGGCTGTCCCTGGGGCTGGGCTGTCCCCCATGTCCGGCTGTCCCCCATGTCCGGCTGTCCCCAGGACTGGGCTGTCCCCCATGTCCTGCTGTCCCCGGGGCTGAGCTGTCCCCCATGCCGGGCTGTCCTTCGGGCCAGGAGGAAGGCCCGCGTTCCCACCCCGCTCGGATTCCTGCGGCTCCTGCGGAACAGGAAGCGGGAGGCCGGACCTCAGTCCTGGGCCGCGGGTCCAGCGGGATGGAGGGACGGTCCTGGTGCTGGAAGCCAAGTCAGCCTTCAGTCTGGCTGACTGGCACTCGTCTCAGCCTATCAAATCCTTGGAAGGGCGGGCCAGCCAGTGAGAGGCCGCGTCTGCCAGCGGTGGGCGGGGTGATCGGAGGGCGTGTCCTTGTGTCAGGGCGGGGCGCCTGCCCTCCGGTCGGGCTGACTAACGTTGGTTCTAGCCAATAGTATCAGGGCAGGAGACCCGGGCAGCCAATGGGAAGACAGCGCCTGGCAGCGGTGGGCGGGCGCTGGGGCGGCGGTGACGTCGGCGCAGGCGCAGCGCGGGGTCTGAGGCCGCTGGGTCCGGGAGGCGGCGTCCTGCGGGGTCGGGAGGCGTGCGGGTCCTGGGCGCGGCTCCCTCGGTGTCCGTCTCCGTCCCCAGGGTCGCAGCCCCGCAGGCTCCCCGCCATGACGGCGCTTCCCGCGGACGACATGGACACGGCCGTGTCTACCTTCAGGCAGGAGGACGTGGAGGAGCACTACGAGATGGGGGAGGAGCTGGGCAGGTGAGCGGGCGCGGGCCTGGCGGACGGCCCGAGGTGTCCTCCCTGATCGGCCCGGCGCGTCCGCCCGGTGTGTCCACCCGGTGTGTCCTCCCCGTGCGTCCTCCCCGCGCGTCCACCCGGTGTGTCCTTCCCACGCGTCCACCTCCTGTGTCCACCCGGTGTGTCCTTCCCACGCGTCCACCTCCTGTGTCCACCCGGTGCGTCCTCCCCACGCGTCCACCTCCTGTGTCCACCCGGTGCGTCCTCCCCACGCGTCCACCTCCTGTGTCCACCCGGTGTGTCCTTCCCACGCGTCCACCTCCTGTGTCCACCCGGTGTGTCCTCCCCACGCGTCCACCTCCTGTGTCCACCCGGTGTGTCCTTCCCACGCGTCCACCCGGTGTGTTCTCCCTGCCCGTCCTCCCTGAGCCGCCCGGCGCGTCCTCCCCTATCGGCCTGGAGTGTCCTCCCGGCGCATCCTGTCCTCTCGGTGTGTCCACCCTTTGTGTCTATCCTGTGTGTCCTCCCCGCCCGTCCTCCCCATGCGTCCACCCGGTGTGTCCACCCCGCCCGTCCACCCAGTGCATCCTCCCCGCCCGTCCTCCCCACGCGTCCACCCGGTGTGTCCTCCCCGAGCCGCACGGCGCGTCCACGCGATGTGTCCTCCCCGCGTGTCCATCCGGTGTGTGCTCGCCGCCCGTCCTCCCCACGCGTCCACCCAGTGGTCCTCCCCAAGCTCCCGGCACTTCCGGCCGCTGCCTGCAGCCTTATTTGGAGGCCTTGCTGCTGGCCTCCCCGGGCCTGCCCCATGATGTCGCCAGAAGGGAATTTGAGGAGGAGCCAGGCGTCTGTGGGATCCTGGCAGCCCCTGTGGGCTGCACTGGGACTTGGGGTGCCCCCTACCCCGACATGCCGTGGCCCTCTATGCGCTGCTGTGGCCAGGACCCCTCACTCGGGAGCTGGTGCTGAGCCGGCCCCCTGAGGGGGGAATCCTGTCTGGTCTGATCCCAGGGGAGACCCCGAGGGACAGGCCCGGCCGTGCAGGTGGGGGACCCCGAGG